CGTTCACGCGACCCACCACATCCGTGCCGCGCTTGACAGCACGCGCAGCTTTCCCCAGCCACCCAGAACGGCTGCTCAACTTGGACGCCGCATTGCCGATCTTGTCGTTGATGCTACCGACCTTCGTGCTCACTTTCGAGACCTTGCCGGCCACTCCCTTGACCATCGTCGCGCCCTTGGACACCTTATCGGCGCCTCGCTTGACGGCGTCGGAGCCCTTCTTGACAGATTGCAGTCCCTTTTGGACACTGCTGCCGAACTTCGTCCCCGACTGCCCAATCCTGGCCAGCGGGTTGCCCATGCGAACATTCTTTGCGCTCGTGACTCCCAACGCGCCGTTTAGCTTGGACGCTCCTTTGCCCAGCACGCCCGTCACACTCTTTACTTTGCCTGCATATTGACCGACGGTACTAGCTGCACTGCGAACCTGCGAGTTGTATTCGCCAACAGTCTTCGACCCGTCTTGCACTCCTCGAGCCAACCGCCCAACAACACCCTTATCATTGGCATACCGGCTCGCAGCTGAGTTGACTTTCGAGTTGATGCGAGCCACTGAATCCGAGATGCCAGTGACAGCACTTGCGCCTCGTTGGACAGTCGATGCGACTTTATTTACAGCGTTCAAAGCCTTGGGGGCGTTTCGCAGTACGGCCTGGCCGATCTGGACGCCACGGGTACCAACAGCCCGGGCCACGTAGGGTGCGGCCCGCTGCACTACTGCACGGGCAATCGGAGCGGCAGCACGGGCGACGTACGGAGCTGCGCGAGCGACGTAAGGAGCGGCAGCTCGCGCGATGTGGGGGGCGGCGACGCGGGCGGCAGCGGCCGCCAATGGAACCCATTCGTTCTTCGCACGCTTTTTGTCGCCAGCGAAGGCTGGTGGGCCACGCACCACCAAGCGCGTTTCCGTCGGACCCTGCGGTTCAGAATACGAGAGTTTGCGGAAGCGATGACCCGGTGCGCCGTTCGTGAAGACCACATCGTCCAACGGCTGGTCTACATGACTCCAATGCAGTTGGTGCAATGGCGCTGCTTGCTCGTCGTAGGACACACGAGCGGGGGTGTCTCGGCCTTCGACGGTGGACACCACCGCGAGTGACGCCAGCGCGCACAGCACGAACGGAGAGAGGTGCATGCTAGACTTGTCAACTTCTCCAATGCGATGCGGATGCCACCATTGTCGCCACAAGCGACGACATAATGGCCCGACGACAAAAACCGCGTCGACAACTTGGTCCAAGTCACAATTGATTTCAACAAAACAAAAGCAATTTTATCTACATTCTATTATTCATCTGTGGGGATTTCAATAAAGAAGAGCATAAATGCATATTACGTGGAGAAACATAGACTTGGAAGAGTAGGCGTCGTCGTGTCGTGGTGGATATCGTCGGCCTTTGTCCACAAGCACCAACAGGTCGTGGCGTATGCGTAAAGGAATCGTCCAAGTCTCCACGAAACGTCGACACCCATACGAATCGCTTCTGATCTTTCACCGCAGTTTTACCAAAGCATGCACGCTTGGTGCCTCCCATCGACCTGCGCAAACGAAGTCCACCATCGAAATCACAACAATTGCATACACATGGAATTTCGATGTAAATACACGGATTCTGAAGGGAACATAAATATGAGGAAAATACAGGAAAAATTGTCGAAATTCAATTATCTCCAATACAAACATCAAGTCAAGGGAATTGACGTGGATCGTCCAAGCAATTCAAACGTTGTCGCCGTCATCTCCACTCTCGACGGCAACGACGCATGTCGCGGCTGTTCTCGCTCCTGGCGCTCGACCTCGACGGTACACTGCTGAATACCTCGAACCGAGTGAGTGCGCGCACAGCAGCTGCCATCCAGCGCGTGGCTGCCACGGGTGCTATTGTGTCGCTTTGCTCGGGTCGGTCCATTGCCTGCATGGCGGATGCTGAGCGGCAACTTGGCCTGGCCCATCCTTGCGTGGTCCTGTCATGTAATGGAGCTGCGGCATTCGACTCCAAGCGCCGTCCGCTCTACGTAGACACGATGTCGGCGGACAGCGTGCGCACTGTCCTACGTGCCGCCGAAGACATGCATCGCTGCGTCAATTTGTACGACGAAATTCGTGGAATCATACACGTGCGCCCAACACACCCCGCACATCACGACCTCATCCACCGATACAGAACGCGCACTGGCGCACAGTTCAATGTTGTCACCGCCCACGATCTCGACGCTGTTGCCCCGTGCCAAGTGGCAGTGCTCGGTGACGATCCTGCTCAGATCTATGCCGAGCTTGTGAACCGGGTCTCGTCCGACTTGAAAGTGAACTCGTACAGCTACTTTGTCGAATGCGTACCCCGTCACATCAACAAAGGCATTGGGTTGCATCGACTGGCGCAACATTTGCAGGTCCCAATGGAGGAGACGGTGGCGTTTGGCGATGGCGCGAATGATTTGGAGTTTGTCGAGGCCGCTGGGATGGGGGTGGCGATGCAGAACGCGATTCCGTCCGTCAAGCTTGCCGCAAACAAGGTCACAGAGCACTCCCACGACGACGACGGAGTCGCCGTGGAGCTTGAAGCGATGCTTTTGCAAGGAGCTTTCGGCCCCCCGCCATCGTCCGACATGCTTGCTTCCTCCGTTGGCTAGATTTACCGAGATTTCGACATATCGATGTGAATAAACATGTCAAGTTTACTCGTGTTAACCGTTGGGCAAGGCGTGCATGCCGCCAGTCTACAGCTCAAGCGCCTCCAGCGGAAGCGTCTTTGCGTCAAACTGCGACAGGATGCCGCGCAGCGACGCCTCATCGATGGCTCCCGTGTGCACGAAGAACTTGCGCTCGGAGATGTCTAGCAAAATGGCGTGCGGTCCTTCGACGCCTTCGGACTTGGTGAATTCGTGGATTTGGTCGGCGATGCCGTTGCTCTTGCTCTTGTTCGTGAAGAAAATGACGGAAGGCTCGTCCGACGTTGTGCACACATCTCCGTGGCACACGACGCCCTTGTTGGACTCGGCGGCAATAGTCTTTAGCGACGCATTTACAGTCGACTGTTCCTCTTCCGTCAGAGTCGAGTAAAACACAATCAACGAAGGCTTGTCGTTGATGGTGAATCCACCAGAGCTGACGCCTTCGGACAGATCGACAACGGACTTGGGAGCCCACGGGAAGGCGTCGGGGCTTGCTTGAACAACTGAGACAGCATCATTGTTGACCACGGGTCGGGTAGGGCCGCGATTTGGTCCCAAGATGACCAAATGCGGGATGCCTTCGACTTCGTACATTTCGCTCAAGTCTTCGTAAGCTTCCTTCGCAAACTCGAACGGGATCGCCAGCCATGGCATTTTCTTCAAGTATCCGTCAAAGTCGCTCTGCGAGTTGTCGCCACTCACAAACACAATTTCGAGCGCATGACCAGCATCCTTCGCCTTGATGTATGCATCGGCGAGGACAGGTGTAAAGTTTTGGCATGGACCGCACCACGAAGCAGAAAAGTACAAGCCCAAGTGCTTTCCCTTCAGGTCGGCCGCGCTGAACGACTGACCGTCGCGGTTGACAAAGTGGTTGCCCAACATCTGCGGCAACGTCTTGGGGACGTACGGGAAGTTGACACCTTCAGGGTCTTGCATGACTTTGCCTCGGGCGTTCGTGTTGATCGTGTTGCCGTTCTCGTCCACAATCACGAGGGTGGGAATGCCCTGCACCTTGTACTGTGCATTCAGGGATTTGTGGATGTCACGAGCGGCATACGGCACAGCAGTCCATGGCATCTCGGCAAAGTACTCGTCGAACGATTCTTGGTTGTTGTCCGAGCTCACAAACACGATCTCAAACGGTTTTCCGGTAGCTGTCAACTTCTTGTAGTACGTGGCCAGTTGTGGCGTGAACCCGCGGCACGGAGGGCACCAATGCGCGCTGAAGTAGATGGCAACAGTCTTGCCTTGGAGATGTTCTGCCGTGGACACTTCCTTGCCGCCGCTTTGGAGTAGCGTTGGGCCGACGAGCGCGACGAACGGCGAGTTGAAACCAAACACCGACGACATTTTGAAAAATGACCGATTGACTTCGGCTGAATCCGAGTGATGGTCCATCTCCGACCAATCGAATCGTTTCGTGTTCGAAATATCGAAAAATAAAACGAAAAAATGCCGAAATTTCCGCGAAATCGGCAGCCAACGAACGCGCCATGGAGCTGCTCGTCGTCGGGACGAAGATGGGCTCGTCTGCCGATTGTGTTCATGGCGCTCTTGAAGGATTACGTTCAAAGCAACCCCGGGGGTCCATCCAGCACCTTCACGCCGTCCGTTCCAAAGACAAAAGTTACAAAGGTTATCAACGGATGCAATCCGACACGGTCTGAGATACGACCGCATCTTCCGAACGCACTGCCATTTGCAGCAGCATTTGGCCGCCCTTGTCCTCGAGGCTAAGCTTGCACTTGACCAAGACCTTGACGCCGCCGACAAACACGCCGCTGAGCAGCAGGATGTGGGCCTTCGCCTGGGGCGCTGGGACACTCGTGTTGTCGCATGCGTGCATGCCAAGGTACTCGATCACAGCACCGACACCTTCGACAAGCGACTGAAAGCGCAGGGCGTATTGCTCACGCACTTCATGTTCGTCGCCAATATGCTCCCACGCGGATCGGAAGTCCGGGACCTGCACCTTGGCCATAAAATCGGCGCCGCTGACCTCGATGTCCTCCATCGGGTACTCTTCGTTGTACCCGTCGCCATCGGGCTTGCCACGAACAAACTCGACGACCTTGAACTTGAGCTCGTTCGCGATCGTGACGAGGGCAAATTCGTTCGCGACATGCTCCAAACACACATACGTCGACGCCTTGTCACCGTACTTGAGCTGCTTGATTGGGACCGTGCTGTGCAACTCGAACGACTCGTCCGCCCACTCGAGGTTCACCCCCACGTCCACGAGCATCTGGTCCTGCACCGTGTTGAGCACCACGTACTCGAGCACGACGTGGGACTTGAAAATATGTTTGACTACCGTCACCACGTATTCGGTCTCGGCTTCAGTGAGTTCCACGGGGGCCGCCGACCGAAACAGCGGGCCGAGGTCGGCAAACTCGGGGATCTTGTACAGTTCCTGCGCAGGGTCGACCGTTGGCTGAGCCACCGCCGCCATCGGAGCGGCAGAATGCGACGCGGCAGTCTTGGTAGTTGGGGCGACGGCATCGGCTTCGACGTGGGGAAGGCTGTGGATCGTGATGGGGCCATCCGACGGGCGAAGAGCGTACTGCTCGAGGGATTTGGCGAGCTGGTTGATGGAGAATGGAAGGGCAGCCTCGGGCGCTTCCTCCGTCAAAGTCAAGTACATGGTTGCTCGATCGCGCACTTCGTCATCGTCGTCGGTGAGGCATCGCTGCAACAGCGTGCGGATGCTGGGCGCCAGGTCCGGCACCTTAATCGCAAATGACGTGAGCGCCGACACGGCCGATGCTCGAATAGTGGCATTCTCCAAGATGATGCGGTTGTAAATGAACCGAATGTAGCGGGAAGGGGACGCAGTAGTGGGCCCGAGTACCCCGAGCACATGCAGAATCTTGACACTGAGCAAAGTAAACTCGCAGTCCTCGATGAACTCGCAGAGGTGGAGCAGACCGGTCTCCTTGGCCTCCGGCAATACGCTCACGATCTCGAGGATGGCGTCCGTGATGGTCTTCTTGAATTCGAGACCACCTTCTTCGCGCAAAAACGTCGACAGGGCCGAGAGGAGCATGCGATGCTTCTGGGGGTACTTCACACACAAGTTGCGGATGGCATCAACGACAACGATCTTGAACTCATCTGCGATTTCGTTCATAAACGTGTTGATTTGCTTCATGAGGCGGTCGACACTCGACTCAGCGCCAGTCTTGAGCAGCGTTGTGATTGCCAACGTCGCGATGCTGCGGTTCGAGTCCCCGATCAAAGTCTCCAAGTCTTCGTTCACCTTGGCCACCAACATGGGCTGCACCAGCGCCACTTGGCTCAACGTGCGCACGGCGGCGAAGCGAAGGGTCGGTCGCACCGAACTGAGCAGTATTTGAAGCACTGTGATCGCAGGCGCCAAGTCTCGCGAGTCCAAAGGAAGCGAGCAAATAGCGCGAGCTGCCTCGTATAGCACCATTTCGCTCTTGTGGCGAAGCATCTTCTCGAGGAACTGGTAGAGCGGGCGAGAGTTGGGGCCAGCGATGTCGTCCGCTAAAAGTGATGCCGAGTACCGGATGAGCAGACAACAGGCCAAGTTGGACTTGAGTGGGGACTTTTGCAGCTGAGATAGCAGCTTGGACACGGCCAACTTGTCGTGCTGGCGGATTTGATACAGGAGAGCCAACGCGTGGTACTGCACCATATCTGTGGGCGAGTTAAGCGCTTCCTGCACTTCGTTAACCCATCGGCGCACAACATCGGCGGAGTGGCGCATCAGATGCATCCCAGACACGAGCGCGGACGACGAAACGAGAGGGTTTTTGTCTACAATGGCCTGCTTGATGTAGCGTTCGATAGCGGCGAGAGTGGAGGTATCGATGATACGGCAGAGGACTCGAATAGCGTTTGCGCGGTACAAGTCCGTGTCGGAGTTCATGTCCTTGCTGAGACTTTGGGTCACGATGATGACACTGTCGGAAGGGGTGGCGTCGGCAACTTCCTTGATGAACAGGTACATCATGCGCCGCAGGTTGGCGTCTTTGCCCTGGAAGAGCTTGGTCACCTTGAAGAAGACATCCGTGATTTCGTTGGATGTGAATGGCTCGCCCTGGGTCAAGATGTGCAGCAGCTTCGTGATCAACTGGCAGCACTTGCGCGGCTGCTTCATCACCATCTGCGCATCCGAGAAGATCTTTGTCTCATGAAGGACTGTCGCTTTGTCCAGGTTCTGGAAGGGAGAAGTAGCAGCGTCTTCGTCCTCGTTCTTGAACTTCTCCTTGATGTCTCGCATCACACTCGACAGCGTCATGCCGGCGATCGGCGAAGGCGTTGCGTCGTTCGACATGTTGCGGCGCAATTGTGGCGTGAGGTAGAAATTCGATGGCAAATTTTACACTAATTTCCAATTTCAATACAAGATGTAGTATCTGGGACTTCATTTTAATATCAAACGACGCGCCAATCAGAAAAGGCCAAGTCAGTAGATTACTGGATAAATTATCCGGTCGTTCTGAACCTCGAAACCCCCTCTCAACGAAAATGGTTTTCGGGGTTTCAAGACTTGTAAGGTGCAGTAAGCTATGAAGGACTATAGTACTGAACCATCCCTCGGACAAACATACTTGACGCCTTTGTAATTTAGTCCGAATGATTGTAAGGTAAGTACACAAATGTCAAAACCAATGTTCAAGATATTTTGAAAATCTCTCATCTGCGCAGTAGCGTTGAGTTCTGGATGTCGTTAAAATTTTGCAATGAGTCGTGTCATGCCGAGGTGAATGCCCTCAACGTCCGAGAGCGTTTTGTGGACAATCCTCCTACCTGCAACGCGACTGATCTAGACAGTATCCACCCAGGTTACACTACGTTTCCAGCCTAAAGCTAGTGCACGAACGTTCGCAGAAGTAACATTGACATCCTAAAACCCCGAAATTAGCCCAAATTGGTCAGTGGTCATTTTCCTTGTAAGACGAATGCACACGAGTGAACTGTACATGCATTTTGTGGAAGCCAGGAGAGCTTCGGATTGACAATTGGCAGGCTAGTAGCTAAGGCATCTATTGAAGTACTGCAGTCCTCGAGCCGAGGCCAGCTATTTCATTCGACGGAGAACAATTACACTGCATGTCTATAAGTTTCCCAGAAAACTGTCATACAATATTTTTATGCATATTCTGTCTGGCCTACCAAGGAATTACCTGCATTGGTTCCTCGAACGTGAAGGAATGAACATGTTCATGCTGGATTTGCCCAGTCCGCTACGGGGCGGTTGGTCACCTCTGCTACAAATTTACGAGTATGCTACACGTATCAGCTATCGTAGCAACACTTACAAGATATCTGAAAGACTTTGCAGATTGGCAAGTGCTCAAGAGCTTTCAGGACTTCTTTAGCGGGGTTTCGAGGTTTCGAGAGTCGTCAAACATGTCTTGCATGGTTTGCGCATGCGCACGAGCTCAGATTCCGTTGCAAAATATCGCTTGAGGACGTTCGACTCAAACATTTCGATTTGTCTGGATGTTGACCATTGACATGCATGAGCTAGACATGATTTGAGTTGTATATTTCCAGACTTACGCACCGCACATCCCATGAGCGACGTGGACGAAATTCCACCGTTTTTATGTGCTTGGTCAGTTTTCTTCAAATCGTTCTGGTATAAAGAGACAGCATTTACGAGAGGAAACGGTCGTGGTGCAATGTTCGCACTAATTAAAGGAGAGCGATGGGGAAGGGCGTGACACCTAGCAATTCGTAAACAATGGTGGAGAAGTCGATATTACTGGCCAGCATGTCCAAATACGCATCAACTCCTTTCACCACCGATTCGTTGACAAGAGTTTTTACGAGGGTATGCATTGAGTTACCTGGTAGGTACCAATCCAAAATGGTACATAACGTAAGTTCCAATAAAAAAGGAACGGCAAGTAGCCAATTACATTGCAGCAAAGTCAGCAGCAGAACTTGTTTATTTTGATACGATTGAATATCAATTTCGTGCGGGACGTGGCTCCTCGCCCCAGAGGCAAATACACGAACAACGAGCTCAAGTTGGCAGTCCCTGAGGTCGTGGACGGAGCTCAAGGAGTTGAGGTTTCGCATCGTACAAGCGTGGCGGTCATTCTCTTAACCACTTTAGAAGTTGCAGAAGTTTATGATCTACCTTGAATATTTTTCAATCATATTGAAGGTAAGTACACCGCGATGTAATTAGCGGAATATTTATGTTTTCGCGAGATTTTCAAATGGTGCACAAAAAATATGAGGCGCTCACCTACCCGATTTCAACGAAACTCAAGGCTATCGGTCTCCTAGAGACGATGCCTGGTCGCGACGTTGCTCATGTCCTTGGTGTACCTCCCCGCACCATACGATCATGGCATAAATAGCGAGATGTACTCTTGTCGTACAATGGCGAAAAGAAACGCTGAATATCGAGCCAAACGGTCGATGCGAAGCATTTACCGATCACCAGGTTTAGTCGAGTTTATTAAGAATGTTAGAGATAACGAGCGTGCACTAACTACCACTATATGATCACATGGATCAAGCTGAATCATTGAGAGTGGCCGATGTCCTACCTGGCGACAAAAAAGACGACTGCAGCCTTCGCATCGCTCCTCAAACTTCTTCAAATATTTTGCGCTCGCCACGGATTTTCTCATCAACGGCCTGCAAGGAGTAATCTCAAACAAACCGTGCTGACGGAAGTTCACGAGATTTTTGCCAAAGAATTTCACCGTGATTACCGCCTCTACGACAAAGACAGCGTATTCAACATCAATGAAACAGGGATTCGCTACAACGTACCTCCCAGCTTCATTTGCGCTGTTCCAGACAGATTTACACCGGCGAAAAGCACTCAATGCGTATGACTGCGGTGCTCACAGCTAATGCAATGATGAGAAGTTGCTTCTATTGATCATCATGCGTGGCGCACCTGGTGGACGGATTGAAACTAGCGAGTTCCCTACGTTTCCCTAGGAAGTCCACTACGCGATGCAAGAGAATGCCTGGATGGATGCTCGCGTGTGGGCACTTTACCTGCGTGATATCCTTCGTCATGGCACTGAAGGCCCTTCGATTGTGCTCGTGGACAACTTCGAAAGCCACGACTCCGATGTGTCCTAAATGATTATGCATGAAGAACTTGGAGCTCACATGTGCATCCTGCCACCAAACGCAACTTCAGTCTCTCAGTCCTTAAATTTTGACACCATGGCGCCCTTCAAGCCCAACCTCAGAAACCTGTGGTCGTGAGAAGCAACTGGTGGGGGAAGACGATGATCCGTTCTCACCTACCTCGCTGCAGGAGCGTCTGGCCATGGTGAAGCGCGCCATCGTTGTTTGGGACTTGGTGTCTTCTGAAGTGACTCATCAGAGGTTTGAAAGTGCTCTTCCAGATAATTTAATAATGTACATTGGTTAATATTTTCATTACATACAAATTATATATTGTGATATGAGATTTTTATTGCAAAAACTCCGACTCACCTGGGGCACACTCAAGACACACAACTTGGAAAACCAATCACATTCGTGTCGAACAGTTACATCAGTTTCGTGTATACTGTACTGGGAACGACAGAATGCAACGCCCACCGAAGATTATGGTGTATTACAGGTGATTTTGTCCAATAATTAACATTGTCCAAAATACTACATTTTGATTGGCAAAATTTTCTTTTTCGTGCCCGCGCGAAGAAACAAAATAAAGCGAGCATCCACATCAAAAAGGAGACATTCATCGTATGCAATTTTGATGAAGCTCGAGGCATTAGGTCTCCTAGAGACGATGTCGCGTCGCGAGGTAGCCAAAGCACTCGAGGTGCCTAGACGTACAGTCCGAAGCTGGCTCCAACAGCGTCATGTTCTCCTGGCCTTCGAAGGACAAGAAACGAAACAAGGTAAAACCAAGAGGTTGGTATGAGGAGCTCCCAGACCCACCAGGTCTCATTGACTTCTTAAACTATATTCGTGACAATGAACGGGCACTAACAACTACTCACCTGATCACATGAACCAAGTTGAACCAGAGCGATCGGCTCCTGGCTTACCTCGCAACAAGAAACCCACGACCGCATACAGATCGCTGCTCCGGCTGCCCCAGCGCGTTTGCCAGTGCCACGGATTCTCTCGCCAATGGGAAACTAAAAACTAGCTTAAGCAAAGCGTCCTCAACGAGACTCACCAGCAATTCTCTGTCGACTTTCACCGCGAATACGCCTCCTACGACAAGAACTGTGTGTACAACGTTGACGAAACCGGGATGTACTATGACCTTCCTCCGACGTGTACATTTGGGCAGTCAAGGGTGGCAGTTCAATGATATCCTGCGGCGAAAAGCACTCGATGCGTAATGACTGCTGCCCTCACGGTCACAGCTGACGGCGGCAAGTTTCCTCTCATGATCATCATGAAGGGCAAGCCCGGCCGTCGCATTGAGAAGAATGAATTCCCATCCTTTCCAGCTGGTCACTGCTACGCTGTTCAGGACAACGCCTGGATGGACAGTCGAGTCTGGGAACAGAACCTTCGTGACGTCTTGGGCGAGCGCATCGAGGGCCCCTCTGTCGTTCTTGTGAACAATTTCGACGCTCATGTGTCCGACGAGTCATATAAGATCATGTATGATGAATAGGATAGGCACATGTGCCCTCTGCCTCTTGACGTCGGCGTGATGGCTCCATCCAAGAACTGTCTTTATGAGAAACAAGTGGTTGAAGACGATGAGGATCCCTACTCGCTTTCGACAAAAAAGCGAAAGGCCATGGTGAAACGTGCGATTGCTGCCTGGGACTTGGTCACTGAATTCGTCATTTGTAGCACTGCTCGGCGCAGAGGTGGAAGCGAGGTAGATACGAACTGCGCGAGGCAAGGCAAATTGTAGAATGAGATATGATCGAGTTATGAGCTCCTAACAACTCCACATTCGTCATGTCTTTACGATACTTGAAGGAACACCACCCTCGTCGGTCGCTCTTGTACTTGATACATGTATGTGACATACAATAATGCAATGATGTCAATCCTATTTTGTAATGCTGGATTCTTGTCGACGTGTGATATCTACGCGATTCGATTCGCTGATCGCTACATTCTCCGCTGGATGTCACGCTGCGCTGAGAATTTTGGCGGTGGAGGTCTTGTAGGAGTTACTTGAAGTAGTAGATTACATGATTTATGTTTTTGGCGAGCTCCCATGTTGCTTCGCTTTCGGGTTGTCCATGCCATTTCACTAAGAACTCGAGTTGGCGGTTGAACTTTCATTTCTTTAGGAGATTCTCAACAATGTAAGTCTTCGGTAGTATCATAAAGGATGATGGGTGTTGCATTGGGAATCGGCCGTGATGCAAACTGGGATCTTTGTGCTTGTAATGC